CGGCATAAGTTTTATTTCCTTATGTTTTTTCAGAAATGAGAATGATTTTGATTGGTTCTCCATTATACTGACATGTTATTATAACAGAATAAATTCTATATTTCTAAAAAAAGTTGTCAAATTATGTCATTTTACTAGTATAACGAGATAAATAATACGTGTCATTTAATTTCGTCATTCGTAATTGATTTCGTCACGCGTAATTGATTTCGTCACCCGTAATTGATTTCGTCACCCGTAATTAATTTCGTCACGCGTAATTGATTTCGTCACCCGTAATTAATTTCGTAATTACGTATTACGTATTACGTATTACGTTTTTGGCAAAATAATTACCATAGCATGTATAATAATGAGTATACAATTCCACCAATATTTATGTTCACAGAAAAGGTAGGACAGAAAGTGGCTTTTATACTTTTAAAATTTCATGCAAAATTTAGAGGTTCTTTAGACCAAGCCAACTATATTAATAAAAAATATTAAATTAAATACATGTGTCTGAATAATTAAATATAACAAAATTATACCTATATTATCAAACAAAAAGCCCATATCTAAATCATTTCAACTTGTTGACCACTATTGCTGTTAGCTTCCAGAAGAGGTTACCCATCTTCCAGATTTGCTTGTCCCAAATTTTTCTTTCCTCCAGAAATACACAATAGAGTCACAAACTATGGCAGATTGATTACAGGTTTTGTTTAATTGAATGATGTCAAACTCCTAATCTTATTTGGAAACCCTGATCTGGGTGCTTTGATGTTTTTCCCAATGGGAAGGGGCACTGTGAGTAAAGATGGTTCCTCAATTAATTTGGCATATGAAAATTTGAATTGTGGCTAATTGTGGATCCCATCTTTAACTATTCGTACATTAAAAAACACCTAGAACTACAACCCTAAATAGATAGTAGGTTCAGTCCACATGGGCCATACTTGATACTCAAGAAAAGAAGAAATTTCAAAATCCGAACCAGGTAACCACCAGAAATGTGAAATGTGAGAAATATCCAATCCAAACTGACTTGATTGTTAGAAGCTCTTATGGCAGCCATGAAATCCTGGATGAGTCAAAAACCACAACTTTGTCTTTGAATTTGAGAACTGTGTCCCCCTTTTTCAAGAAGAAATATGTATGTACAGCCCTCTTCAAGTCTTCTACACCTTGATGATAAATGGCCAAAGACAAATGTGCACACTTGCACGAAGTGCCCATTGCACAACTACCTGCACTACTGAAATTAGGGATGTTAATCAGTCCGGATCGGACTTTTTCAGGTCCAGTCCTACCATTTGGTACTTAAAGCTCTAAAATGTTCATGTGTAACACTGATTTGTTTGAACCCCAAAATTCAGTACAGTATGATCATTTACAAGTTAACATGAGAAAATGCCTTTAACATCAACACATTACGTTATAAATGATAAATACCAACAACAACAACAACAGCCACCTGTCCCCTCTCCTCTTTGATGTTTGTATAAAAAAAAATCATATATTTCTTTAATAAATTAAATTTATTAAATGAAAAAATGGTTGTCTGTGAAATGTGAATTCGACACATATAACACCGCCATTGATCTTTTTCTTTTGGTATTGATATGTTAACATTAATGTGGCTCACATTAACCAATAACTTCCTTTCTAGAAGTTGTTTTCAATATCAAAATCACTATCTTGAAAAAAACATTTTTTACCATTATTATCTGATCCACTCATTGAAGCATCATTGTTTTTCTCAAGTTATATCTCTCCTAGACTTTTGTAATTGAATTTTATCATTGTGTTAAATTTATTTAACAGACTGCCCAAGAAATTCTAAATCCACCTTAAATCTGATTTGTCTGATTAGAATCTGAATTCAACCAACTTGACAAAAATAAACTTTATCTCCGGTTATTAGTAAAGCATGTCTTGGGGTCTAATCTAATTAATGTCTTATATTGTTGATTTTTTTGTGATCTGCTGCATATTAATATTAATATTAATTGCAGAATTTCCAGAATTTACGTAAAGGACATACTGTTTTCAAACCACTACTCCTTTTCCGTTTTCAAAGATATAGGCGCCAAATTTGCATGAAAGATAGTATATGTGTTATAATTTAAAGCTATGGAAAGTTTTAATGGCTGTAAAAATACCAATGGCGTAAAAACCTCATTTAAAATATAACAAATTTGTTTCTTATTGTAATACTTCTTTCTATATATTGTAACCTTCGAAAAAATTATATGAAACAAACATACTTTTTCCGTAGCACTGTCTACAAATGTCTCCTGATTAAAAAACCTCCAATAATATGACCATTTTCCAGAAGCCTTGGCAGTTAACGATTGGAAGTTCATAATACTAGTAAAACACTAATAAAACATACTGTTTTCAAACAACCACTCCTCTTCCATTTTCAAAGATATAGGAACCAAATTTCACGAAAAATACCATATACATTACTATTATAGTTTAGAGGCACGGAAAAGCTTTTAACGGCTGTAAAAACCAATAGTGTAAAAACTCATTTGAAATACAACGAAAGTTTTTCTTTATTTCTATTAATTGCAACTTTTGAAAAAATTATATGAAATTAACATATTCTCCATAGCACTGTTCTACAAACGACCTTCAACTAAAACATAGATATTTTCACAAATATGATGATTTTCCAAAAGCCTTAGCAATTGAGGATTCTAATAAAACTGTTCCCAAGGTTCCGAACAAATCGAATTGAATTTTAGAGTGACTCGATTCGATTTGATTCGTTCTGTAGTCATTCAAATTCAAAAAAACTGAATTCTTAAATTTTTTTTAAATGTCATATTAAATTTATATTTCAATTTAGTGTGCCTTGATTTAATGGATATTAATGGATTGATGCAAACTAAAACTATAATAATAATAATAATAATAATAATAATAATAATAATAAAAATAATAAATTCTTCTCGATATAACAGATTCTTGTCATAGTGGATGAACGGAACACATAAGAAAATTTTATATTTATTTAAAATCCGTGTACAATGGATTTTTTTTCAAAAATTTTAATTATCATAGTCCACTGTGGCGTGACAAGGTTTGACTATATTAACACAACAATAATGGGTTTTTGGGAAAAAATTTTCTAATTACTCAACTATCTGGTAAAACCAAGGATATTATTTAGTGATGATGGCCGAAACTATTTTTAGATACTTCGCCCAATTTCAGCCATTAAAATAGTTTCACCCAATTAATTTTAGCCACTAAATAAGGCAGTTTTGGCCACCATCACTAATATTAACAACACTAATGATAACGTAATGACGAATAAAAAAGCTATACAATTTACAGTTGCACAATTCATTTAAATCTAAATAATAAATATAATTAATGAATAATAATAATAATAATAATTATATATAGATTCGAATCAAATTATATATTCCAATCAGTTCAAATCAAATCAATTCGAATCAGTTCAAATCAAATCATAGGTTCGAATCAAAGTACAGTTCGAATTCGATTCGAATGAAACGGATCGAAAATTAGGTGGTTTGATTCGATTCGATTCGGTTCGAATTTCATTGATTCGTTCGGAGCCTTAACTTTTCCATATAATTAATTTTTCATTACACTGACTGGTTGGTTCTTTTTTTAGAAAAGGAACCGCATATATGGATTACCTTATGGATATTAATTAGATTTGTTGATCAAATACCCAATGTCTTCGAATGTTTATTAATGAATGCCCAATTGGGTTTCTTTCCAAAAAAAAGACGCACAGTATGTCATATGAAGAAAGTAATAGTAATAGTATTGGTACAATAATTAGACATTCGCTAAGAATTTGAACTTTGTTAATAATATAAGTCTATTTTTAATATTAACTTTTTAATTCTTTTTATATTCTATATAATCTTATAAATAAATAATAAAAGATAAGTCTTAAATATAGTGTTTTAAGAAAAAAACGGCGATGACAAAA